AAAGGACGGGGGAGGGGGGGAAGGGCGCGGGGCCCGGGCTGGTCCGAAGGCGGGTGTGTGGTTACAGAAGGGCTGCGCGAATACTTCGGCCAGTTTGGGGAGGTGAAGGAGTGTCTGGTGATGCGGGACCCGCTGACCAAGAGATCCAGGTGAGCCCCTCACCCCCTCCTCCTGCTCCCGGCTCGCCCCCCTCCACCGCCACTCACTCCTTGTAACCATCTGCCTCTCCCTCACTACGGCGCGCAGGGGTTTCGGCTTCGTCACTTTCATGGACCAGGCGGGGGTGGATAAAGTGCTGGCGCAATCGCGGCACGAGCTCGACTCCAAAACAGTGAGTGGCCCCCGGGGCTTCGGGGGTCCTTTGGGAGAGGGAGGCCGCCGGAGGAGAGGGTCAGGAAGGACTCTCCCCGGGGGACAGTTGGACAGGGTCCGTAAGGAAGAAGGGAGTTTTCTGAGTAGAAGGGCTGCCAGGCTCTGAAACTTTGTCACTAGAGTTGAGGGGAGAGAGAGGAGAAAAAAACCCAGGCCTGCCATGAGATGCTACATCTCCCAATCCCTCCAGTACTGGAAAGGGAAAAAGCAGCTACCACCCCCTCCCCAAATGTACTAATCTTGATGCCTCCGAGAGGAGCTTGGGGTGAGGCTAGGTCCCTTCCCCAGCCCAAGTTGGGTGAGTCAGGACTGCAGTGACCCACCCTGGTCACCGCTTCTCTGAACTCTAATATTGGGTTCTGTGACATCCCTCCTCCCCCTTCAATTCCAGACCAATGGCAAAGCATCACTGAGTCCCCCTCCCTCCTTCCTGCCTTCCCCCCTTCCCCTGACTTTTGGTCAGTGTGCCCCTTGCTTTGTGTAGAAGACTCAGACCTGCTTTGCCCATGAGGAGATTCATGAGAAGGAAGCTAGTTTGCCTGGAAATAACCCTTCTGAGGGCTGGATCTTAGCTGCTTGTTTGATATTCAAACTCCTGGAACATTTTGCTCTTGTCCCACTGCTCCCCGGTGTCTTGGGCCCTGCAGGGGGCGCTGGCCCAGGCCCTAGCTCAAGGGGAGGGAGAAGGAGAGAGTCAGAGGAGGAGTTATTCTGTGATGGGGGTGACCTGTGATGGGGGTGACCATCTGCCAAGGGGCCAGGACAGTGCGATCTCTCTCCTCACTCCTCCACTCTCCCCCAGCCCTGGGCCTCCCTGCTTGGGTCAGTCCCTGGCTCCTGTTTACCTGCAACAATAGCTGGTTGTGCCCAAGAATTTGTTAAATTACCGCCTGTCCCCAGCCCCTGTTATCTCTGCCCAGTGGCTCCCACTCCTGCTTCCAGTAATGAGCAAATGAGGCCAGGCCTCAACTTTGCCGGCTCTGAAAGGATCTTCTTGGCTCAGACTGAGTGACCCAAGCTGGGAATGGAGAGACAGTGGCCTATTGTTTTTGGTTATTATCTGCCATCGAGCTGCCTGTTCTCCTACCATCCCCTGTCCTCAGAATGCACTGATGGTTTCTGCAGCGCTCAGGAAGATGAGATTTAGGGGCTGCGGCTGGGGTTGGGGGTGGGATGGAAGATTGATCAAGGGAAGAGAGAGGGGAGAAAGAAGGGTGAGATGGACATCCTTTTGAAATTCAGGATTCAAGGGCAAGGGCTTTGTGTTTGGCATTCTCTGGCCTGGGAAAAAGGGGGGTAAGAGGGAGGTTTATTGTGGGGAGTCTATTTTAAGTTCTGACTTTCACCTTTTATTTACTTGTTGGGTTTTATTTATGTTGCCAGCTGTGAGTCAGAGTGGAGGTGGGGTGTGTGAGGGATGGGGTATGTGTGGGTCTGCGGGACCTGGCTTGGGTACCATCTCCTCATCCGGGTGTGCGAGGGGCACTCTCTGAGTTGGGCTGTGGTGGCTGGGGAGGCTGTTTTCAAGAGAAATAGGATGAAAATGTCCATAGATGCGTGAAATCACACCTTTAGACAAGGAAAATGGTCAGCTGTGACTTTCCCTGGGGCCTGGTGGAAAGAGAGGAGGCACTGGCCCAGCGTGAATTTTGGAGGTTCCTTCTCTGTGGCCGGATTTCAGTGGGGGAGACTGTAGGAAGCTGGTCCCTGGTTTGCGCCATTCAGGCAGAGAGGAGCCAGAGCCAGTCGCCTAGAATGAGCCTGAGTTTTGAATGGAAGGAATTTTGGGAAAAGATAGATCTTGCCTGTGATTGGCTGGTAAACTTCTGAGTGGTGTCTACCCATGTGGGTGGCAAGAAACTCTGGAATGACTTGGCCTCACAGGCCCTGCATTGATCACAGTGTCTTATGCCCTGGCTTTTGTTGTTTCTCAGTATAAGTGGAGTACCCAGGAGTACCCGGGTGCATGTTGCTTTTCTCCTTTGGTTGTTTAAAGCCAAGGGCAAAAGTGGCCTGCCGATTGTAGTACTTTTGCTTGGGCAATGAAGGGCAGTTCACAAAGGGCTGCTTTCACCCACGTTATCTCATTTGATTCCCCCTAGCTGCCCCTGGGAAAAGTGAGTGTGATTGTCCCCACTTTACAGATGAGGGAACTGAGGCTCAGGGGGGTCAGGTGAGTTTCCAAGATCATAGGCTTGGCCAGGGGCCCAGAGTTTCTGAGTCCAAGTCCCATGCCCTTGCGCATCACCAAAGCCTGGGCTCTGCGTCACCCCAAGCCTAGCTCCATTCTCAAGAAGCTGCTTGCACCCTCAGGGAGGGCTCTTAGATGTCGATAATATCGGGGAAACAGAACTGAGTCCATTCCTGGTGGCTTATGAACTCTTATCTCGAAGCAGAGAGTTTCCATTTGCAAGGCTTCAAAAGTCTGGATTGTGTGCCTCACCTAGACAGGTCTCTGCGTGAAGTCAGTTAAGCCGAGAAGGCCCTTGATATACTTGGTGCTTAAAGGAATAAGATTTTGCTAATTTTGGGGGGTTCTTGCTGTGAGCTAGACACCGTGCCAAGTGCTTTGTAAGCATTATCTCAAATAATCTGCAGAGGACCCTTTGAGGTGGATGTTACTGTTTGCCCATTTTGCAGGTGAGCTTGACCCCGAGGCTCAGAGATTTTAAGTAACTTGTCTAAGGTCTCACAGCTGGGAAGCAGTGTAAAGTGGAGTTTGGACTCAGCGGCCTGGCTCTAGGACCTAAATGCTTAACCACTATATTTTCCTGCTAGAGGCAGTGATTGCTTCTGTCACCTCTGTATCCTGGGATGAGAGAGGTCCTTGGGGCTGAAGGCTGTGTGGTCACCCATCTGAAGTGTGATAATCAAGGCCCCTTCTACCTCTCCTTTCTCTTTCAGATTGATCCCAAGGTGGCCTTTCCTCGGAGAGCACAGCCTAAGGTAGGTGTGTCTGTGTCTGGGAGCTCTGTTACAGAGGGCAATGATATTCTCAGCATTCCTTTGTATGAAAGATGCTTCTAGAACCTCTCTGTGGCCTGGGATCGGGGGAGGGAGGATTCTTGATGTCCTTGCTCTGTGGATTGAGGACATCATGCATCGTCTTTCCAGCTGTGCTCTGGAGTGAACTGGGGAAGGGGCTGCATGTATTGGGAGAACGGGAACCCCTCAGGGGACTTGTCCTGTATTTAAAGCCAATATGATTTGGATCCTGAGTTGAATTCTGACCTCAGAGATCACAGCCTCTGTGCCCGGTGCCTCTCGAGGTCAACCCCAGGACAGACTACCCCCTGTGGCTGAGCTACAGTTGGGCCAGGGAGCTACCTCTGACCCTAGTCACCCTCCTACCTCTTGACCGTGATGTGTTGGGTTTGAGGAGGGGGAAGGGACCATGGAGTCTGTCACCTGTTGTCTTTCAACTTGGGTGACTGGGACTGCCCTCCCAAGTGCTCTTTCTCTGAGCTGTGGTGTTTTTCTGGCTGTATGGAAAACAGATTTCTAAGCAGTTGAGCTATATAGCACTCAAAACTTTTAGTTCAGGTCAGGTGCCTAGGATTCTAGTCCAGGCCACCGGGCAACTAGCCAGATCTTAATTTTTAAGCAGTGGAATATAGGGACAGACGGGAAGGCTGATTACAATACCCGGGGCAGGACCCCTGTGTCTGCTGACTTATGTGTCCTAGGACTAGGTAGGTCCCTCTCCAGGAGATCTTAGTTTCCCCTTTGCAAGGGGGTTGGTGGGAACTAGAGTGCTTTAGGATTTTGAGTCATGGAGCCCAGCTCCTGCCACAGCGAAGGAAGGGGGGCAGCTTTTAGGAAACAGGAAAGGGGCATCTCTGGAAGGGTCCAGCAGAGGACCGGAAAGCAATTTTGGAGCAGGTATTCGAAGGAAGCCGCACCAGGGAGCACATGGTCGGAATTGGGTTAATTCCATTAAGCAGTTTGGTGACAGAAGGTGCTTTAGTGTTAGGATGGGGCTGGGAATTGCCGTGGATTAGCCATGCGCTCCTGGGGTAATTAGGACCATGTGTTCTTCCTAAAACAGGGCTGGGGCCACGGGGCTGCCAGAGGTTGGTTGGGAGAAGGTTGATGAGGGAAATGTTGGCGTGGAGTTCAGGGGCACCCTGTGGTGGGTTTTGGCCTCTCCCAGGGGGCTGGTGGGGTCTTTAAGTTCGGCTGTATGTCTGGGTCACTAACCTACCCCCTTCTCTGTATTGGTCTTTAGGAAAGGCATTTTCTGCTCACAGACCCCAGGGAGGGAGGCAGGAGGGAGGCACACTCCAGCCAGCCAGGGTGTGGGGTGCACAGCTGCCTGTGACAGGCCTAGAGGCGGGGGTTCAAGGGGGAGCTCGGTGGGGGGGGCCTTCAGAGTAGCTGGGGCCACAGAGAGCTTGTCAGCTGGCGGCCTGGCAGGAGGGCTCGAGCCCCTGCTGGTGGCAGTAGGCCACAGGACTCAGATGCCCACTTTCTCATTCCCTCCCCCTAACAGATGGTGACTCGAACGAAGAAGATCTTTGTCGGGGGGCTATCAGTGAACACCACGGTGGAAGACGTGAAGCAATATTTTGAGCAGTTTGGGAAGGTGGGTCAAATCTGGGGTGCTTGGTGGAGGGGGGTCTGAAAGGCCTGTAGAATTGGTCAGTAGCGAGTGGAGTCCAGGTCATTCTCATTTTTGAAAAAGGTGTAAAGGGGGCTGGGTCCTTCTGTGGGTGAGGCGAGGCCAACACACTGTTCAGGCTCCTGTCCTATCTATGGGCCTCCGACTGTGGACCCATCCCCAGGGATACAGGCCACACAGTAGCTGTCTCTGTCGTTGCCTTTCCCCTGTGTTTTTCTCTTGCTTATCTTCATGCTCCCGAGGGAGGCTGCTCTCCCATAGCCAGTTCAATCCAGTCACCCCTTGGCCTCCTGGGAGTTTGCACCTGTCCAGGCCATGGGCGGTTGTACCTTCCCCCAGGCCTTTCTGGTGAGGATGATAAGGAGGTAATAAATATGACTCCCAATTGCACTTAGCACCCTGCTTGTACAGGTGGGAGCTTGGGGCAGGAGCTGGGGAGACACTGATCCCCTAGCTATTTGGGGGGTGGGCTGAAGATCAGACCCAGAGGATTGGCTCTCAGCTCCGAGGTGCATCCAGCTTTAATTTCTGGGCTATTCGGTCTACGAAGTAGGAGATGTGGCGATATTAGACAATAGGATGTCCTCAGAAAGGTGGGCAATTTCAATGTCAAGGTCCTCTGGAGAGATAGCTAACAGGGGGCCAAATTTTAATCTCAGGATGAAGTAGGACTGCCGCGCTTAGTGCTGGGGACCCTGTTCTACTCCTGAGACACGCTACAGGCTGGGTCTCTACTTTCCCATCAAGGCATTTTCAGTTCCCCACTAGGCAAAGGGCAAAGAAGGTGGCTTGGGAAATAGGAAGCGGGCCGGCGACTGGATGGGTTTTCAGTCCCCTGTCTCAAGGGTAGAAGGGGAGAGGGTGGGAGGTCCCCTGGCCGGCGGATGCTGGCGGCGTTGGGGCCAGAGGCCGAGGCTCAGGCGCCTCCGTGGGGACCCAGGTCCAGGACGGAGGGCAGGTCGGCAGCCTGGGCCCCAGAGGGAAGGGCGCTCCTGGGAAGCAGCAGGCCCCGCTTGCTCCGGCGGGGTGTCTTTGTGTCTGAGCGCCGAGCATTAGAGCTCGCACTAATCTGATCCAGCAGCTGTGATTGGAGGCCGCCTGCCCCCGGGGCCGGCGTTGCCATGGCAACCGGGCCCCAGGAGAAGCCGTCAGCGGCCGCGTCTTTTGTTCGGGCCTAAATCGGCGTTGGCATGTGAAACCGGCCCGGGGAGGCCAGGGGGAGCCGGAGAATAGGCTGCCAGGGAGCGAGGGGGACAGCCGGGAATGCCAAGGGCCCCGCGGCGGGGGGCCCCCCGCCCGGATCGTGGGGCCGCCGCCGAGGGGGGAACAATGGTCAGCCGCCATGGCTGCCACTCAGGCTTAGCGGCCGCCGAACTTGGCGGCTCCCACTGGTCAGCAGGCCTCGGCCGCCTCCCCTCCCCCTGCCAGAGCCCCCCTGCCCTCGGGTTCCCATGGAGACCAAAGCCTATTAAGGACACTGGGCTGGGAGCCTCCCTCCCCTCAGCTGGCCCCAGGAGGGGACACCAGTGGGGGTCTCCTGGACCCCTAGCCACCTTCCTTGTTCCCTGCCCTGGCCTCAACCCCACTGCCCCACTGGGGATCTGTCCAGCCAGGGCCCAGGTTGAACGATCTGGGGGGCCAGGGATGGTGGAGTTGGCAGGCTGGATAGAAGAAGTTGAAAATTCTGTGGATTTGGACAGAATCAGTTTGTGAGTCAGGCAGGACCTCAAAGCTGTAGGACAGAAAGGAGGGTGTGGCTGGTTCTTAGTTTATTCATTCATTCATTCAGAAAAATAATTATTGAGCACAAGGTGCTCAATAGGTTGGTTGGTCATGGTCATAGCTGACACAGGCACTGTCCTCACGGAACTTTCAAAGCCAGCAGTGTTAGGTTGCTCTCCAGCTTTGTCACTTTCTCCCACGTGACTGAGGACAAGCCCCTCCATAATAAGGTAAAAATAATAGTCATTATTTTTTAAGCACTTACTGAATCCCAGTACTGTGAGTTAAGAGTATATATGCATAATCTCTTTTAATTCTTCCTGATAAGACACTCTTACACCCATTTTACAGATGAGGAACCTGAGTCACGGAGACACAGCCACTTGCCCAAGGTTACTCACCAGCAAATGGGGGACCTAGCATTCCAATTCAAAGCTTATGCTTTTATCACAACCCTCTTTTCTAGGTTTCTATGTTCCATTGTTTAAGGGGATGGGGAAGGTGTGCTGAGCCTGAAGTGTCCCTCCAGTTTAGACAGTCAGCTGATTTGGGATTGGGACTCAGGATGGGTCCTTAAGGATGGGAGTGAGGGTGACACTCCCCTGCAGGGACCCGGGGCAGGAAGTTCCTAAGGGAGGAAAGTGTCATTTCCTTCTCAGATTCTCCAGGGACCCAGCTGCCTCCTGGCTCAGTGGGGTCCTGGTTCTCCGAAGGGGAAGTCAGAGGCCCAGGGCAGCATGGTGCCTAAGGAGAGTTGGAGGACCACCCTGTTCAGAGGCCTCCCCTTTCCTTAGAGAGGCAGATGATGGGCCTGGAAAGGGCAAAGGAGAGTGGGGAGAGGCCGCGCCCCACGGCCTCAGGAAGTTTTCCTTAATCCCCTGGGTGTCTGACCATTTGTGTGAGGGTCAGCAGCTGGAGTGTGATGGAGGGGTATCAGAGGCAGCCCTTGATTTCCACCGAGGATGAATCAGACCTTAGCTTCACCCCGTGAGATAGCTGACATTGGCTGAAGAATTAAGGGGGGAAGGAGGATGCACCAGATGTAGGCAAAGGGACTGTGGGAGGGAAGGTAAGGCCATCGGCTGTCCGTGTATCTAAGGGGATGCCTTGAGGAAGTAGCAAGAAGTCTGGGGTCCAAGGGATGGGGGCTAATGTAGACTCTCCCCCTTCCTTAGCCCCTGTCCCCTCCCCCAGTCAGTGGGAGGCTAGCAGCCCAGGCACTGAACTCTACTTGCTTTAATTACAGCCTCTAGCAAAAGGAAACCTCAATTAGAGGAAAAGATCTGTACCAGCAGAGGGGAGTCAAGACTGGCTGGAGTGGCTGCTGTCCTCTCAGCCTTTTGCAAAAAGAGAAGAGGCTTTTGCTTCCCCATCTCATATCTTGGCTTCTGTATTTCCTCCTCTACTGCCCACCCAGGCTTGGTCTGGGATTTGCTCTGTGTCCTTGGGCAGGTAGCTTCACCTCTCTGAGCCTATTTTCTTATCTACAAAATGAGGCTCGTACCATGGAGGCAACGTGCCGGGAACATATCCCACACTTAATATTTGCAGGCTGGTCCATTGAGAATCTGGTGGTTGAATGGGGGGTTGCTGTGGCCTCCAGTGGGGTCGCAGATGGAAAGTTGTCCCCGGCATGGGAGGAGGTTTAAGATAAAGCCTAGACTAGACAAAGGGGAGTGGGTATAGGACCCCCGCTCCTGGGTTGTGACGGGTCCCCCTGGTATCTGGTGGGTCCTCCAACAACAAAATGGCTCTGTTCCATTTCAGGTGGATGATGCCATGCTGATGTTTGACAAAACCACCAACCGGCACCGAGGTGAGTGTGGCCCCCTCCCCCTTTCCAGGCGGGGTTGGGGGCCTGTGGTCAGCCAAGGGGCTGCAGGTCACAGCTGCCCTTTCATCTCTCCTCTTGACATCCTATCCCTGAGGATCTGCATCCTCTCCAGGGCCTGGCCTTACAGAAGGCTTTTGTCCCGCTGTTTCCTGTGCTAGAAACTTGCAGAATTGCAGACACCCGAGAGGAGCAGAGGAGCAGACTCCCTCCCAACCGAGCCCTTCCACCCCTACGCGGCCCCCGCCATGTCTGCCCAGCCAGTGTCTCTGTGGGGACTTACCTCGTCCCTGGTAACCAGAGCTCAACCCAGGCTACCCTAGGGTCAGGCTGACTTGTGGCCCCAGGCATTCTGCTCCTGCCGCCTCCCTCCACCCTCACCCTCGGGCTGAGCCCAGCCCCCAGCCTCCTTGCCCCTGAACCTGTGAGCATCTGGGCCACAGTGTTCACACTGCCTGGTTGTTTTTCTCCCAAGGGCCTTGACTTCTGAGAATCCCATTCCAGTCCCTGGGGCACACCAGGGAGGAGGTGGGGCTGTTTCTCCAGTTGCTTCAGGCCTTAGGGCCTTTTAACCTGTTCTGAGAGTGGAGTATGTGCTGTTGTGTGTGCATGTATCTAAACGTGAGGATGTCAGTATCTGAATATGTGTGTGTTTGGTGTGTCAGGGTGACTGTGTATGTATCCATAGGGGTCTTTATGTCTTTGTGAGCACTAGTGAGTATCTGTGTGCTATATGGGTACGTGTGTGTGCGCCTACCTATCTGTGTATGAATGTGTCTGTGTACAAACATAAGTTTGTGTGTGTCATTTTAAATAAGTGTGTGTGCTTTCTTCCCCCTTTAGAAAGCATCTGAGTGAGAGAAAGGGCGTGTCGAGTGTAATTTCCTCATAGCTCTGCCACTTTCTACCTTGCTGCATGACCTTGAGCAAGTCACTTCACTTTGCTGAGCTTTGGTTTTCACATCTGTAATTTGGAACTAGAAACCGTGTCTCAGAGAGTGGTCGAGAGATGCCTGCGCTGTGAGCAGAGCCTCTCGTTAACTTTCAGACGCCTTCCTGGGAGAGCAGAGTCGTGGTATTAGTGTGACTCAGGGCTGGGTTTTGACCGTGCCTTTGCCCTCCAGGGTTCGGTTTTGTCACGTTTGAGAGCGAAGACATCGTGGAAAAAGTGTGTGAAATCCATTTCCATGAAATCAACAACAAAATGGTGAGCCGGGGTTGGATAGGGTGGAGGCGCAGAGAGAGACTGAGGCTCCAGACTGAGCCGGCCAGGGATGCCCGGAGGTTCGGGAGGCAGTCAGTGGGGTAGTCAGTTCCCTTACCCACTGAAAATCTGGACAGGAAGGCAGTGTCCCATGGCAGTTAAAAAGCACAGGTTTGAAAGCCTGAGTTGAAATCCTCTGCCACTTGCTAGTCTAGTCACTGGGCAGATGGCTTCCCGTCTCGGAGCCTGTGGCAATAGTTCCTCCATCATAGGATTGGTGTAAACATTCACGAACTATTGCATGCAAAGCCGTTTTACACAGCGCCTAGCATGTAGCGAGTGCTCCGTAAATGGGTAACTATGAAATTAATAAAAAGGCCTGGCAGGGAATAGAAGGGTCTGTGAACCCAGGACTATAGGAGGGACTGACCACCAGGTCTCATTGCAGGTGGAATGTAAGAAAGCTCAGCCAAAAGAGGTGATGTCGCCGACGGGCTCAGCCAGGGGGAGGTCTCGAGTCATGCCCTACGGAATGGACGCCTTCATGCTGGGCATCGGCATGCTGGGTATGTGCCAGGCCTGCACCTGCGCTTCTTCCGGCCCGGACCTCCTCCCGGGACTACCGAGGGCGGCGTGGGTGTCACATCTCCTCTGTGGTCTGCCCTCCTGAGTCACTGGGCGGGAGTGGGGACCAAGGATCGCAGGCCTACCAAAGGTGGGGCAGTTTTGTTGTGGGGTACTGCCCTCTGGCGGTAGCCCGAAGAATGGTCCAGCTGCTCCTTATTAATTAATTGGTCCTTCTGTCCATCCATCCATTCGTTAGTTCATTCATCCACACAGTAAATAGTTATCGAGCAACTATAAATGCCAGGCATTGTGCCAGGAAGTATGACAGTAACTTTCCTTGGACCTTTATGGTCTGACAGGAACAAATAACTAAGATCATAAATAAATAAATAGGTTTAGGATGGAAATGTATAGCATAGTTCACAGGGAACTTGACCAAGACTTGGAGAAGCCAGAAAAGAAGTTACATTTGAGCTGAGTCTGCTGGTTGAGTAGGAGCTAGTTATGGGAAGGCAGGGGAGAAGGGAAGGTGAAAGTATTCCAGGCAGAGGGAACAAGATTTACAAAGACCCGAAGTCCTTTAAGAAGGCAAAAGGAAGGCTGCTGCTTGTTCGTTCAACTAATATTGCTTGAGCAGCTTCTGAGAGGCAGCACCTGCCCTCGGGGAGTTCCCCGTCAAGTGGGAGACAGGAATAAATGGTCAGTGTCACCACAGAGTGTTTGGAGGCTGTGGGAGGCCCAAGGAGGCACCTAAACCCACCTGGGTGTCTGGGAGGCCCCCTGGAGGAGATGAAGGCTGCCACGACCTTGGAAGGTGAGCAAGAGTCAGCAGCACTTGCGGCCCATGGCCAAGGGTGAAAAATCTGAGCTAGGCCCCCAGGATGCTCACAGTCTCCCTGGAAAGACAAGCTGCGTGCACACAGAAAGAGATCAGTACCGGGGTGGGGGGTGGGGGGTCTTTATGCAGGGGATGGGGGAGGGGTGCTCTGGGAATTTAGAGGAGGAGGGAATGGTGTGGGCTAGAGGGTCAGGATTTGGGATTACAGGACAGCACCCTCCAAGTGGAGCATGGGCTTCTTTGGGAGTTTTTAATTTTCACTTTTTATTTGGAAGTAATTTCAAGCTTTCAGAAGGGTTGAAGAAATAAAGTTGCACAAGGATTTCCAGATTCATATGTTGTTAACATTATACCCTGTTTGCTTTAGTATTTTCTCTATTTGTGTGTGTGTATGTATATATATGCACGTACATATGTGCACACACACAAACATACATACACAATATACTTGTGATTTTTTTTTCCTGAGTCATTCGAAGGCAAATTACATGTATTATGGTCTTTTACCCTTAAATACGTCAGTGTATATTTCCTAAGGTTAAGGATATTCTTTCATGAAACCATAGTATTTTAATCTAATCTCTCTATTTTCTGACTTTATCAGTTGACCCAGTAATGTTCTTTAGAGCATATTTTTGCCTTTCAGAACAAGATCCAGGCTTGACTCAGGTCTTGCATTTAGTTGTCTTGTCTCTTTAGCCTCCTTTGATCTGGAACATTGAGAAAGTTTTCTTTTCAAGGTGATCCGTTTTTTTACCTCATTTAAAGAGTGGGGAAAAAAAACAGGAAAGAAATCCTATAACATATAGTGAGAATCGTGCCAGTCAGATCTGAATTTGAATCCCATTTACACCATTATTACTCACGATATGATTTTTCTTTCACAGCCGCAAATATTTATTAGATGCATACTAAGTAGCAGGCACCAGGCGGGTGCTAGAAATACAGAAAGAAAAGATGGGGAAAACAGAAAATCAGCACTTAAATTTATCCTGAAATAAATTTAGATAATGGTCATCAGGGCTATGAAAAGGAAAAACCAGGGTGATACGATAAGTATCGTAACTAATGGGAAGGGAAGACTCTTTTGGAATGAGCTCGCCGAGGAGGTGACATCTGAGCTGAGACCTGCACAATGAAAAGGACACAGTCGTGTGAAAACCTGGGGAGATGAGTTCCAGGCA